CTACATGGATTATGGTGTTACTGCAGCATTTCTCAGAAAATTAAATGTGCTGTGCAGCCTCCATACAATATATCCACACTGTGTGCTTTAATAATTGTATTATGATCCTTAAGTAGACTTGAATGCCTTGTTTCCAGGACCCTTTAAAATATCACTATTAAATTTCCTTAGAAATCTAAGTGGAATTCTTGTGCATCTGACTCTCCATTTCTTTTTAAATTGAGTGATTGTGCATAATTTTATTTCCCTCCTGTAAGGCACAGAAATCATTGTACATTTGCTCTATGAGACAAATTGTCCCAAACTAACAAGTCAGAACCTTAAAAATATTCTTGTTAGTATTTTTCAGGCTCAGAAGAATGTCTAGAAAACCCTCAGCTGTCCAAAACTATTCTTTCTGCTTGAGGAGAAAGAAGTCCCTCTTCTTGCATGTGGCATTCCAGATTAGTGGAACTCTTTACTTGTTTATTACTTTAGCTTTTAAGTGCTAGGAGACATTCATATGAAAGAACTCGGTAAAATTGTATAAGGTTAATTCACTGATTGTGCGTATGATTTATAATTATTACTTTAATGGTAACATGTAAAGTCTCTGGGGATTGGAACCTATTAGAAGTGTACTGAGTTAGGCACTGTACATGTATCATAATAAAAAGATAATGTATCAATTGCACCAAATTTCACTGAGCCACTACTCTTTTTTTTTTTTTTTTTTTTTTTTTTAAATCAGGGTTGCAGTTTTGGCAGATATAAATTCTAACGTTTCATCTGTTAGGGAGACTTCTCCCCAGATTTAGCGGAAAGATTTTAGCACATTTTTCCCACCTCCTTCAATAACTTTAATAGTTATGAATAGCACATATTCATCAAGGGACTGAGCTCCTTTCTGTATTTATAAGTGGTCCTGGAATAACTTACAACTGCCTCACATCCATGCACAAATTCTCTCTTATTGACAGATCTGTGCACTTAAGTAAATATAATTAGTCTGAAAAAATTTCAGAAACAATGAATGGTCCTACAGCACCTTACAGGCAAAAAACAAAAGTGGATAGTATCATGAGCTTCCGACGGCACAACCCACTTCATGATATTATCTACATTTTTGTTAGTCTCTAAAGTGCTGCAGGACCATTTATTTTAAACAAAATACAGGACAATGTAGCACTTTAAAGACTAACAAGATGGTTTATTAGATGATGAGCTTTCGTGGGCCAGACCCACTTCCTCAGATCAAATAGTGGAAGAAAATAGTCACAACCATATACACCAAATGATACAATTAAAAAAAAATGAACATGTGATTTGTCCTTTTCATATGTGTTCATTTTTTTAATTGTATCCTTTGGTATATATGGTTGTGACTATTTTCTTCCACTACTTGATCTGAGGAAGTGGGTCTGGCCCACGAAAGCTCATCATCTAATAAACCATCTTGTTAGTCTTTAAAGTGCTACATAGTCTTGTATATAGGACAGGACAGACACAGCATAGAAAGGAACAGTGGAGTAGATGGGAAAGAAAAAAGGTAAGACATTATTCAGCACACACATAGCTTCCTATATTCCCCTGCACTTTTGCTGTAGAAAAACTGTCATGGCTTCTGGATGTAAGAAACCCTATCTGGGAATATTTTGAAGAAATTAGTTCCCGGGATAAAAAAGAAAGCTGTGTCAAGTGTAAGCATTGCAAGAAGATGACGTAGGGCCTAGCTGCAAGAATGAAACATCATAAGGAAAAGTGCTTATTGGGAGAAAATGATGTGGATGAAGATGTCCATATAGCTCAGTGGATTTTTTTGTGGTCCTGTCTAATATCTGTTTTGGGGGCATTGATCCTTTGGCGCCCCCCCCCCCGCTGCCTCTGTCAGAAAGAGGCAGCAAGGGGAGGGGGGAAAAAAGGGTACTTCAAAGCAGCAGCACCATGTGGAGCCCGAGGCCAAACCTGGGGCTCCATGTGGCGCTGCCACTTTGAAACGCTGTTGGGAGCTGTGGCATTTCAAAGCGGCAGTGCCGCATGGAGCCCAGGATCAGCTGGGGATTCCCCTACTGATCCTGGGCTGCACATGGTGCTGCTGCTTTGAAATGCTGTGGGGAGCCCAGTGTTAGGCTTCGCCCAGCGATTCAAAGTGGTAGTGCTGCATGGAGCCTGGGGTCAGCGGGGGAGTCCCCTGCTGATCCCGCACTTTGTGCAGCACTGCTGCTTTGAAATGCTGCGGGGAGAATGGCATCCGGGTCACTGTGGCATTTCAAAATGGCAACACCCATGGAGCCTGTGATCAGCTGGGGACTCCCCTGCTACTCCGGGTTCCATGTGGTGCTGCCACGTTGAAATGCCGTGAGAAACCTGGCATCGGGCTGCACCCAGCATTTCAAAGAGGCAGCACCATGTGGAGCCCAGGATCAGCTGGCGTCCATAGCTGATCCCAGGCTCCACATAGCGCTTTCACCCTATTGACTAATCGAACAGTTGATGCAAAGTGCATTGACTATTTGATTGCTCGGTTAGTTGATATTTAACATCCTTAATATATAGATACGTTGCCTGCTCTCTTCGTGTGGGAGTTAAGCCAGAAGTTGGGCGACAGAATGATTTAAACCCAGGAAGGACTACCAGGCCTCCAAGAAATTCAGGGCATGGAAGTGGACTGAACTAGGGATGTTAAATGGCGTTTAATCAGCTAATTGATTAGTTGATGGAATATCCATCGATTAGTCAATTAGTTGATTGTCGGGGGAGGGGAGGACTGCAAAGCCACAGCGAAGTTAGCTCCCAGCCTCGGGAGCGAACCCCACTGCAGCTCTGCCTTTTAAATGTATTAAGAGCCACCGGGCTTTTAATACGTTTAAAAGGCTGAAGCACAGTGGGGGGTGGGAGACTGGGCATAAGTCAGGAATTAGCTGTCTTAATACATTTAAAGTCTTAATACATTAAAAAAGCACAAGCACAGTGGGTGGGGGGAGAAGGGGGACGGGGTGCAAGCCGGGAATCAGCTGATTCCCAACTCGCACCCAGTCCCCTGCTACTCCTCTGCCTCCTCTCCCCCAGCATCATCTCCGTGAGGAGGGTAAACCAGCTTTTAAGCCGACTCTCCCCAGCACTGGCTCCAGCTCCCCCCTTTGATACCTCTCTCTGATAGAGGCACCAAGGGGCAGGAGAAAGCAACTAGTCGAGTCAGTAATTACGGTTGCCAGATGGTTGAAACAAAAATACCAAACACCCCCCCCCCCAAAAAAAAAAAACCACCGGGGAAAAAATTTTTTTGAGAGGGAAAGAAAAAGGGGGGGCCCAAAGT